GGCTCAGCAGCATCAGGGCCTCACTCTTGCTGCTTGTGTTTCTCCTGCAGGGACAGGCTCTGCATGCTGGTCTTTTATCCCTCCAGTGCCCCCTCTGCAGAAATGATGACACATTTCTCAGGGATATGTTCACCATGGGGATCCAAATCCCCTTGAGGTTGGTGTCCTTCTGCCTGGCTCACAACACAGGGGGTGCAAGTGCTGTGCTGTTCCAGGGCCTGCCCCAGCAGTCCTGGCCCTGCCCTGTTCCGTGAGTCCCGGGTTCAGCTTCCTGCAGGAGCTGGAAATGGCACAGGGGGAAGGGCAGGGACACCCTGCAACTGCCCGATGCCAGGGCAGAGGGAGCTCATCAGTTTTCCTTTTCCCATCAGACCACCATCATGGGAGGGCATTAATGCATTCGATGAGCTAGGAGACAGCTAACCCACAAAACATGAGAAATCACGTATGAGACTCTCATCCACTAAAACGACTGTCACCTCGGCACGCAAATTCCATCAGTCACAAGATGGCAGGAGGGAGGATGAAGCTGTGTCACAGCACCAACCAAATGGCATCGGGAAGGAGGGAGGCAAGGAGCGAGGAGCGAAGGTGGGAAAAGTTGCTGCGGGAAACGCCAGTGCGGGAAAGAAGGGGGCGGGTTCCCTCAGCACCACCCCCCTAGGCCACCTCTGCCTCCACCTGCGCGTGTCGGGGACTCCACCCCTGACACACCCACACCCACGGCCTCTCCCTCCAGCTCTGCCTCCTCCCCAGAAAGTCCTCCCTCCTGGGACAGAAAGGAATTCAGGGGCGGGTCCAGGCCAAAGGTCAAGTCCAGCTTCCACAAACACGGCCATGCCCACAGGGCCTGTTCCACCGAGGCCCACCCTACCTACCAGTTATCTGACACCCACTCAGACTGTTCCCAGCACTCCCCTGAGAGACAGGCAAACCATCCAAACTTCTGGAAGTCTTTCAGGGAGGAGGCTGCTCAGGCCAATGACGGAGACTTCCTAAAGGCCTTTCCAATTTACTTAGAGGAGGGTAAAGCTCCAGAATGGAGGCCTATCTCTTACCCAATGCTGAAGGACAAAATCTGGCACTAATCGTTAGTGTAATAGCTCTCATGAGTTCTCTGGGATGTACCCACCAACCATTTGAGTGAATCTCAATCAGGTCGAAAGATTCTAAAGTTGTTTGGAAGGCAATAACTGCCATAGGTCCTAAATTTAATGTGACAGTTTGTGATCTGTTAATGGCTAATATACCCCAAGAATGTGGCAAGGGAGGAAGAAAACCCTCTGTTACAGTAAATAAGGGAACCACATATTGGTGTCCAACTTCTAACCTGGGCAGGTCATATTGCAATTATCCTGGGCACTATCACTGTGGATATTGGGGTTGTGAGACCATAGCCACTGCCTGGAGACCTGAAAGACCAGACAGGTACTTACGAGTACAATGGGGACCACCACATTGTGAGCCCCCTGCATTTGGAGGGTTTGTACTCCCTAATGAACCCTCCAATTGTGAGTATTTGCAGGTGCAAGTCCTGAATCACGAGGACCGAGGGTGGCTGACTGGACGGACGTGGGGAGTAAGATTAGACAGACTGTCCGCAGACCCAGGTGAATATGTGACAATAAGGAAACAGCCATTAACTGTTTATTCCCAATTACTAGGACCCAGCTTGGAAATAAGGAAATCTAGAGACAACAGTCAAGAAAAAGAAAGTCCTTACTAATTCAATGTCACAGGAATCTAAAGGTACACAGGTCATTCCTACTGGATCATTTGAAAAAGTATCACATGGGGGAGTGGAATCAATGTTAAACCTGGTAGAAGCATCTTATAAAGCCATCAATTATACAGACCCTGACATGACTGAGTCTTGTTGGTTATGTTACAACGTGGGACCTTGTGGGAGGTGTGTCTGGATGCACAGGGGATGTGCCAGGGCGATGGGCCCGAGGGGACATGCGCAGTCACATATAACTCTATTGCCTGAAGAAGTCACATGGTACACAGGGATATAAGAGTGGGAGTTTTGAATAAAGCTCTCTTGGTTTCACCATCCACGAGGAGTTGACTCATTCCTTGTTATACAAGGGTCCCCTGCTACAAGTGACGATCCGAAAGGGACATTTTTAGCTTATATTAAGCGAGATATTTATCCTGGATCAGGAAATCAGCTGGTGACCCTGGGATCGTCTCAATTTTCGGAGACAGGGGTCTTGACCACAAAAAACCTTGACGTCAATAAACCCCGTGCTCTTATTGGCACCTAAGAGACAGACAGTTAGTTTAGCGAGCTCAAAAATATTAAGATAGTGCACGAAAGAAGAGAAGAAAGAAGTTGAAGAAGAAACTGAGAGGTCAAAGCAGCCACTGGAGAGAGCGGAGAGGGTCAACACAACATCCAAAGCGGTGAGTCTGACTGGGACGCACCGTGCACGCCTAAGACTGCTCCCTGGGTGAGATGTGCCTGCAGCTCGGAGAACGAGCCGCAGAGCACCTTAAGATCGTCAGGGAAAAGCCTGTGGGTCCCCTGAGAGTCGGTCATCTGGTAAAGCGGCTCTTCGCTACCGACTGTGTGGACCACGTGCAAGAAGCGGCTTGCCGCTGCCGCGTCTTAGCAACCCCAGCCACCGCTGACCCCCGCGGAGCCCCCGTTCCAGTTTTCTGTCCCGCAGAAACTGCCACGGCTCCCCGCCTGCTCGCCGCCGCTGACTGACCCTGCGGCGTGCTTAAAAAGCATTGCCAGCAAAAAGCCTTTGCGCCGTGTTCAGACCGCGCGGGCTTTACCGAGGCGCCGCGCCTTCCGATACAGCGCGCCCCGACCCCCGCGCCACCCAGCGAACCGTGGGAGCCCCAGGGCTGCCGCTGCTGCGAACGCCACGCTCACCGGAGCCGGGACCACGCCGAGCCGCCGCCACATGACTGAGAGCCGCCGCCAGCGCCGCCGCTTCGTTCGCCGCTCTGCTGAATCCTTACTATGTTCAGGTTACAAGGGCTGAATTATCAGAGTTGGTGCGGCTCATTAAAGCAGCCGTACCAGAACTGCCTCTGGTTGAAGCCCTCAACATTCACATATGGGACAAAATAGGCAATCTTATCAAACTCAAGGTTTGGGGAGGGGACTCCCAAGCAAACAGTGCTTATCCAGCCTGGCAAGCTATAATGACTGCATTAAGCAGATCCCACCAAAGAACGACGAACACACCCCCCCCCCCCCACTCACGCTGCAAGCAGCAGCCCCACTTTTACGCACCGCAGTTCAAACACACAAAGCGCGGCGGGGGCAGGGGGTGGAGCCGTTCACAATTCAACTCCGGGGAAGGGAACAGGGAGCCCGAGGGACACGGACCGGCGGGAGGGAGCGGGGCCCCAGATGCGAGGTTCCAGTCAGTGGGACAGCAGCAGGGGGTCCCGTGACGGGGGTGGGGGGGCTAGCCCAGCTTACTTGCCAACCCATCCTGCGCATGAACGCCGAGTACACGCCCAGGGGCGGGCACCACCATCTCGCCCGCCACGCGGTACGGACACCGACCCGTCCTTCCCCACCCCTGCGCCGTCCTCCCCAACCACCACCACCGCCCACCCACAGGCAGCCGCTTTCGCCAGAGCTGCAGGGGGGGGGAATGGGAGGAATGGGGGGAGGAGGAGGGGGATTTCGGGATAGCTCTGCCGGCAAGGGATGAAGCAACATACCGAGAGGGTACAATTGATAGATGGGTTTTATGCAGAGAAGAGGCATTGCGTACTGGAGACTTACAAGTTATACAAGCATGTCCAGTAATTATCAGTCCACGTCAAAGCCACAGGTTCCAACCATTGCCACATGAACTAACCAAAGAACTAAGAGAGTTAATAAGAGAAACTGGTGTATCATCCCCTAACACGCTTGCATTTTTAGAATCACTAAGTTCCACATATATCTTCATGCCTCATGACTGGAGAACCCTGTTACAAATAAGCCTTCCTAACACACAGTACAATGTATGGCTGAACAATTTTAGAGAAATCTGTTCCGCCTATGCTAATGACCCGCAAGCAGGGGTATCAGCACACCAACTCACAGGGGATGGGAACTATCGTTCCATAGATGCTCAAACCGGGTACAATAGAGAGATATACGAAGTCATTGCAAAACATGCCATGCGGGCAATAAAGAAACTACCCACATCAGACAGAGACGCAAACTTGTCATTTACAAAAATAATACAGGGCCCAACAGAACCTTACACAAAATTCCTAGATCGGCTGCAATCTGCTCTGGATAGGCAGATTGAAAATGAGGAAGCCAGAGAGATCCTTAGCAGAAGACTGGCTTTCGAAAATGCTAATGTTGATTGTAAAAGAGTTCTGCAAACCCTTCCTAAGAGGAAAACTTGCAGTATCTCAGAATTAGTTCGTGCCTGCCAAGAGGTGGGTTCTTTAACACATCAATCAGATTTGCTAGCAGTAGCACTGAGTACTCAGTTAAGGACACAGCAGGGGGCCAGACCCAGAGAAGGTTGCTTCATTTGTGGGGCCCCCGACCATTTCCAAAGGGACTGCCCTCAGAAACCTCTAGCAGTGGCACCTCGAAAGCACCCCAAAGCAAGGAGGATGCCAAAAAACTGGAGGTGAGGGGTGCTGTCGCACGCCCCGGTACAGCAATCACATGCGACACAAGGGAACAGGCTGGCGATTTGTGCCCCCCCAGCTCAGCCAGCGCTCTGTGCCCCTATACCCCAACCAGCAATCTGTGCCCCGCCACCCCAGCCAGCGCTGGGTGGGACTTATCCAACAGGGACACAGTCTTCATAACTTCCACTGAGGTAGTGCTAATCCCGACTGGACATTGGGGTCCCCTTAATCCAGGGGTACGCGCACTGCTGATTGGAAGGTCCTCCACCACCAGAATGGGTTTGTTTGTGCTGCCAGGTGTAATAGGGGTCTGGAGGGTTCCCGCTCTGCCCGGTGGGGACACATCAGCTCCACGGTTCAGGTGGGGGAGGGTCCCCAGAGGGGACCTTGGCCAGGGCTCAGCACCAGGAACTGGTGCGGACCAGGGGAATCCGACTGTTTAATTAAAGCCAAGCATCGCCAAGGCCCACGGCGGGGGCTGACGCGCTGGGATTTCTGCCCAGAGCTCTCAATGGCAAAGGGAAGAAATTCAGTGAAGTGCAGGTAAACGGCGGGAGTAACTATCACTCTCCTAAGGTGGGAGCAGAGTTACTGACTGGGCTCAGCCGCAGTGGTCGCACCTCCTCGTGGTCCCGCTGGATGCCCTTCACAGGTAACTAAGTCGGCCTCGGCCCCAGTTCGGAGGAGGGGTTAAAGCCTCTCTCTCCCTATCGTCTGGAGTCACTGCCCAGCGAGAGTCATCAAACAAAAGTGATACAAATTTTTGGTAATAACTTACAGAAGTTATTTACCCAGAACCTTGCCCACGGGCTCAAGTTGGGCACAGGTTGACAGATATTGAGGGGTACTGTTAACCTTGTCATCTCTCACCTGGATGGACAAACTACATAAACTGACAAAATGGGCCGGTTGATGAGGCTTATGCATGTACCAACAGCCACTCAAACTGATCCTAATGATTGGAAACCTTTTGTAGCCAAATCAGATGAAACATCAAGTCCCTTAGTAACAACATCAGACGAAACTGAGTTGCAACAGTTAGAGTTCTCTAGCTCAAAGGAGACAGAGAACTGGCAGGCAACTCAATCTTTAACACAAGGGGATAAATTGGCTTTACTTCCAGAAGTTTACGAGTCATTTACACCAGACTCAGTCAGAGAAAATAAAAACAATCTCTCTGACACTGAAAATGAAAACAATGGAGATGAGGAGGACTGTTGGAGGAGAAGAGACGGAGTGGCAAAAATATGAAGCTTGGAGAAAGATTTATGACCCATAAATGGACATTTTTATACCGGATTGGACACTGTTATACTGGATGTGACATTCCCCGGACTTGACAGTTTTACCCCAGTTTTCCCCAGTTTATTGTTATATTGTTATATGATTGTGCGTACCCCCAGTTGTTGTTTTTAAAATTATCCTCCATATTGTCTCCTCCTTCCCCTCACAGTTTTCCCGCCTTAACCCTGTTTTCCCGCTCCTCTGCCTGCCATTGGCTGATGTTTGGTGCAGTGCAGAGGCAGCTGCCATTGGCCCATTTCCCCAGCTACACCCAAACTCCTCCCCTCCTTACCCAGTTACCCAATCACATTCATCCCTGAGTTGTCAGTCCTACGCTCCTCCCTAGCCCAGACTCCACCCCTAAACCTATCCTATATAAGTTACTGTTTCCCTAATAAAGTTTGGCATTGCTCCTCGACCTCTACTGTGTCAAGACCCTGATTTGCAGTGCCCGATCCGATTCCTTTTCCCGCGGGTCGTGGCAAGTGGCGCCCAACGTGGGGCACAGTAGAGGTCTCCTGTATCAGGAGAACTCCTGTGTTGCCAATTGGGCTCAAGCATCTCCAGGAGGGGAGATCGCTCCGCCGGCCCTCCTCTGCATAGCTGACGGCTGTGGACTACGAGCGAGTCGCACGGGTCGCGCACCTGGAAAGGTGAGCTGCAGGGGACATCCCTAACACCCTCACCCAACACTTCATCTCCGTAATCAAAACTAAAAAGGGAGGAATAACATCCGGAAGTGTGGTGAGAAACCCGATTAACATCATGGGGCTCACACTTTCCACCTCCCAGAAATTTGTCTACCGCCGCCTCAAAGACTTTGTGATAGAGCACGGTCACCCGCTGGATAAAAAATCAGCGAAAGCCCTCGCCAGATGGCTTGACCGTCATGGTCACCAAGTTAATGACAACACGACATTTGATAAGTGGCAAGCCATCGGATTCCAGCTATGGCGAGAGAGCGGCAAGGGTGACCGGCTTGCTAAGGAGGCGCTGATAGCCTGGAGGCTTGTTCTGATGGTGCTTCAGCACCAGATGATGAACAAGAACATCAGCAATAACAACCAAGGCGCTGAATCCTCCAAGTTAATAGAAGAGAACAAACCAGACACGGACAAGGACACTAAAAATACTGACACGGACACTCTTCACTCGGATAAGGACACCGCAAGTTTCCACCAAAATGGCGGGAGGGAAAAGAAGGACATTGGCTCCAACGCACAAAATGGTGGGCGGGAGACGGACAGTGAGTCCCAAGATGGCGGGAGGGCGCGAAGAAAAGGATCGCGTCGATCTCGAGATGGCGTCGAGGAGGCGGGGCCCCGGGTTTCGCGGGAAAAATCGACGCGGGAAAAGCGGAGGCGGGCTCTCGTAGCTCCACCCACAGCGCCGCCTCCGCCCCCGTATACGCGCGCGCGGAGCCCCTCCCCAGACACGCCTTCCTCCACGCCCACTTCCGCCACTCCAGTCTCCTCCCCGGAACCTCCTCCCTCCCGGAAACCACGGGGTGCAGTGGGCGGGGCAAGGGCAAAGGCCCAAGGTAACATCCGCCAAGATGGCCGCGCCCGTAAGGCCCAGGCCACCGAGGCCTACTCCGCCTGCCGGTACCCCCACTCCGATTATCACTGGGTGCCATACTCCCCGGAGGAACCATCTGACGCTCCGGATATCTGGAGAGCCTTCCGGGAAGAGGCGGCATCCGCCAAAGACACAGAGTTCTTAAGGGCCTTTCCTGTATATTATGAAGAGGGCAAACCACCAGAATGGTGTCCAATTTCATACCCCATGTTAAAAGACATAAAGAAAGCTATCGTGGAGTATGGGTTGGGCGCCCCCTTTACCATCGGGTTACTCGAGTCCTTTTTCTTAGCGTACATATTAATTCCATTTGATGTACGGGCGGTGATGGGAGGATTACTGACAACCGTACAGGCCTCAGTCTTTGAGGCGGAGTGGAAAAAGCGAGTAGTGACCTGGGCGAATGACCGAATGGAGAGGCGAGGTATCCCCCCACGGCAAGCCAGACATGCTTTATGGTGAGGGAGATTACGCTCGTAGAGGGGATCAAGCACGATTAGACCCTAAATTGTTAGATAAATCTATGTAGCAGGGGTAGTTAATCGGATAGAAGGGGCCCTAATTAAAGAAGTCCCGAATAAGAGGTTCTTTCAGTTATTTTGTCAATTATGGTTGGCAGTAACAAACAGAGATCATGACTATGCTGTCATACATGTACGAAGCCATAAATGGGACATTGGGTTGGGTGAAGGAAATGCTAGGGCGGACAGATTAGTTTCTATGGCTACAGAGGATGAGGAAGAATTTACCAAAGCACAGAAAGATCATGAACAATATCATCAAAATGCCAGAGGACTAAAAAGAATGTATGACATCACCTTAAATGATGCTAAAAATATTGTTCGATCCTGTCCAACATGTAGCAATCATAATGGTGGTGTAGGATTGGGTATGGGAGTAAATCCCAGGGGGTTAAAGAGTAATGAAATCTGGCAAATGGATGTTACACATTATGCACCTTTTGGAAGATTCAAATATATACATGTGTGTATTGACACATATAGTCATTTTATGTGGGCTACGGCTCAAACAGGAGAAAAAGCTTTACAAGTAGAAAGACATTTGTGTGAATGTTTTGCTGTGATGGGGAAACCACAACAGATAAAAACAGACAATGGACCTGCCTATGTGGGTACTAGAGTAGGCCAATTTTTGAAAAAGTGGAAAATCACTCACCGCACAGGTATTGCTCACTCTCCCACAGGACAAGCAATCATAGAAAGGGCTCATTACACACTAAAAACGTATCTTGAAAAACATAAAAACATTATTGATATTAAGAAAAGGTTAAGCAAGGTACTGTTTGTCCTGAATCATTTATGCATTTTTGGAGATCAAAAAGATCCTCCTGTAACAATTCATTATACATTAAAACAGGATACAGAGAAACCTGAAGAGGTGTGGGTCAGATTTAAAGATCCATGTACAGGGATTTGGCAAGATCCAGCAAAAGTACTCTACTGGGGAAGAGGTTATCTTTGTGTTTCTTCACCACAGGGACCTCTTTGGATACCTGCCAAGTGGACTCGAGCTGCTGTGAATGTCTCGAGCCCTGCTCAGAACAGAGACGGCGAAAAGGAGAATAGAGGAGAAGATTCGGATACTGCTTCTACCACGAGTGCGTGCAATTAAAGGGTTACCCAAGAATTTGCAACGGGAAATTAACAAATGTGATAGTTATGAAGCGTTTGTCCTGCTACTGACTGCACTGTATCTATTTTCAGAAAAATATTTTGGCACACGACACTGTTACAAATGCAAGCAGCCAGGCTGCTTGGCCTGGATTGCCTTTAAGTGTAAGACCTGTGAAGGCAAATGGTAGTTTGAGCAACATAATTTGCGAGGAATTTGGTGTAGAACTTGTGCTTATGCATTATCACTTGATACATGGCAACGTAATTTAGAACGAGCAAGAGGGTTACAGGTACTTGAAGCATTGCTGTTGTTTGAAGCTGAAGAGCAGAGTCTATTGGCTTACTTACACTGGTACACTACACATATTATAAAAAGACTGAGTGTGATCAAAGGTACAAAAATTATTGCAGCCCGGTGTGGGAAAGATACACCCCTAACAACAATAGTACCTTGTGGTCCCTTTAGAGGCAATCCACAGCGATACCTTAATTTCTGTGTGAAAACATACAATCAATTTGAAGGAAAATGATGATCCTTTTATGGTTTTGGGTTTTGGAGACAATCTTAATGACACAAGGGCACCCTAGCATCCCTGCTGGACCCAGAGAAAACATTTGGGTAACGTTTGCCAACCAAACAGGTCAAACGGATTTTTGTCTGAGTATGGCCAAAGCATCTGATCCCTTTCAAACATGTCTGATTGGCATTCCTTACCTTGATACAGGTGACTTTAAAGGATGAGTTAATCCTAATCCTACCAAAATTGAGGTGGAACGTGCATGCAATGTAACCAAAGAATGCACGAATGGCACCAAAGGTATGATGTCTCTTTTGTTGGTGGCTAATCTGAACAGGACAATGACAGACAGTCCCAGTGAATTACAACTATTTAGAGCTGTGTATGGAAATGACTCTTGTTTCAGACTTAATCTGAAAAAAGAAAAGATCTTTTTGAAATGGCAACAAACAATTGGGAATGTATCCACCACAAACATAACAGCACAAAGCCCTCCATATGACAATGTAACCTGGTGCCAAGGTTATGTCAGAAATTTAACAATGAATGTGACAAAACCAAAATATTTACCACCTGGTTACTTCTTGATTTGTGGCAATAGAGCATGGCCTGGCATTCCTAAGTATCCCATTGGCGGACCATGTTACTTGGGAAAGCTGACTATGTTTACACCTACCATGAGACAAATAACACAACTGAAAAAGAAAAATATTCGGAACAAACGAGAAACTGAATTTGATAAATACTGCAAGTCAGTAGAAAACCAACCCATTAAATTTTGGACGCCTACAGCAAATTTTTTTGCATCCATATTTGCCCCCTTTGGAACAAAAAAGAGCCTGGTTCTTGTCCAAAGAACAGCTTGTTGGGCAAGAAATCAAATGAATAGAACTTCGAAGATTCTGGGAGAATTGGCTCATGACTCTGATGAAATAAGGCATGCTGTTTTACAAAACAGAGCAGCCATAGATTTTCTATTGCTGGCTCAGGGGCATGGATGTGAAGAATTTGAAGGCATGTGTTGTATGAATCTTTCTGATCACTCTCAGTCCATCTACCAGAA